GTCAATCTGTGAGGCACAGACCCCAGACCGACAAGGAATCCAGAGCAAGGAGAGGCCTGGCCTGGCTGGAAGCTTCTTGGGGAGCCAGGGCTGAGTGGGGCCCGGAGGGCTGAGACGGTGATGAAGTGCAGGAGGACGCGCTGCGATGGGGGCTAGGGTCCCCCCCAGGGCACAGCTGGGCAGAGTGGGCCAGCATTTCCAGGCCAGCCAAGGGTGCGTAAAAGCTAAGATAGCCTCAGGAGGCTCTCTGTGCTGGCTGTCCCATCAGGTCACCGGGGAAGCTTTTCCAAACACAGAGGCCCAGACGCCTCAGGTGTCCTGACTCAGAATCTCAGGAGGAGTGCACGGCCACCTGGGATTTGAAGCTCCTCAGACCATGCAGATGTGCAGCTGGAGTGGAGAACCTCGGTAGTAAGAGCGGGTTTAACTTCAGGATTGTGGAAGGGAAAAACCCAGGTCTTAATTCAGACAGATTGTTCTGGAGGCAGCCTGCCGCAGGACGGGAGAGGAAGCAGGCTGTGTGTCGGAGGCTGGGCACCAAGTCTCGCAGGAAACCACAGGCCTTGGCTTGCGAGCAGTGGACCGAGATGCCGACAGTGGGAAGGAGACATTTAACATCACAGATCGTCCTGAGTAGAGTCCAGGACTTAATGACAGGTTGGAAATAGTGGATGTGGATGTGCAAATATTCAGAAGATACCAGGGTTCCGGTCTCAGGCTGGAACGTGGTAGCATCACCAAATGAAAATCCAGCCAGTTCTTCATATGGAGAAACCATATGGAGTTGGGCCTCGCTGAGCTGGAGGTAATTACAGCATCTACAAATGGAGCTCCCCCAGAGAGACCCAGAATTACAGCAAGTGGGGTGGAGAGGCGAGGTCAGAACTAGAGACGTAGATCTGGGAGCCTTTGGCCACATGTCCACGGAGGTCAGGATAAATCACGATCAGTAGAGGCCCAAAAACATAACTCCACGTGTCATTCCGTGGTTCCCCCATCCCCACATAAATTTATCCATCTGTAAAGCAGAATTAATATTCTCCCCAAACGGGAAGATATTTTCCCCAGAAAGCCCAGCTGAGGCTGGCTGCTCCTTTCCTTGCCCCGTGAGTCAGGCCTTAGGTCGGTGTCTAGGAAAGTTGGGCCCAGGTGACACTGGACCTGTGTCCTCGGGTTGGGTCAAGTCCGGGAGGAAGAAGGGTGCCCGGAATCTCGGCATTTCTCCCGTGGGGTCCTCCCTGCTTCAGCTCAGCCTGTTAGCTCCATGCCCTCTCACCCTCATTTCAGGGAAAAGCTTCAGGGAGCAGCAGTGTGAGAAGTACAATGCCTACAATTACACGGACGTGGATGGGAACCTGCTGCAGTGGGTCCCCAAGTACGCAGGGGTGTCCCCCCGGGACCGCTGCAAGCTGTTCTGCCGAGCCCGGGGGCGGAGTGAGTTCAAAGTGTTCGAAGCCAAGGTGAGGATCCTTCTGGAACTCAGGTGCACAGGTGGGGAGGAAGGCCCCCTGGCCTGAGCCCAGGAGTGGGCGACGTCAGTGCTCACTGGGCCCTCTGACCGCCCCCTCCCTCCCCCACTGCAGGTGATCGACGGCACCCTGTGCGGGCCTGAGACTCTGGCCATCTGTGTCCGTGGCCAGTGTGTCAAGGCTGGCTGTGACCACGTGGTGGACTCGCCTAGGAAGCTGGACAAATGCGGCGTGTGCGGCGGCAAAGGCAACTCGTGCAGGAAGGTGTCCGGTTCCCTCAACCCCTCCAGGTGGGTCTCTCCAGAAGTTCTGTCCCTGGCTGCGCGAGCGGACCGGGCTTTGGAGTCACAGGGGCCTAAGTGTGCCCTGTGGCTGCTACTCCATCCCCGTGGAGCACTGAGCTTCAGTTTCTTCATAAAACGCGGCATCCTCTCTATCTCAGAGGCGCTGTGGCGAGGCACGAGATGGGCAGAGCGCTTGGCCCGGGGTCTGGCCCGCAGAGATGACGGCTCTCAGGGCAGCCAGAGGCCACATGGATAGGGATGTATCTTCTATGAGTCAACTGGCAGTAGAGCTACACTGAGTAACCGGGACCTTTGCCAGAAAGCAGCTCTTCCAGGCCTGCTGTGGGAAGGACATTTCACCCTAATCTGGCGGGCCCTGCCCTTTCTGCAGGTGGATCTTCAGAAACGGGGGCCCACAGGGGGGTCTTGGCAGCCTCGGGGCTTCACGGACCTGAGAACTCCAGATGCTTTCTCACACCTTAAAGCCACACGTTCATAAAGCTCCTATATCTGTTCAAGTGCTTTCACTTCTGCGGGCTCGACGGATTCCTAAAATAAGTCTATGGAGGCCAAGACCGTTACTCCCCTTTTACAGACGAGGAAACTGAGGCACAAAGAGATTACATGACTCTTCCAGTGTCACAGTGGTAGGTCATGGCGGCCAGAGGTGAGCCTAGCTTTGTCCATTCCCGGGCGGTTTTTTCCTGTCCCACACACACTTCCCGGGGAGGAAGGGCTAGGGCCTGCGGCCACACTGCACCCCTAGCCGGCTCCCTCACTCTCTCTCCTCTCATCAGCCTCAGAAAACAGAATCCGCCTGTTTGGCAGACAACTCAGGAGTCTTTTCAAATTTAAACTCAAAGGATATAGGAAAAAGAAGCACGGGGTGTGGGACAGTCAGACATTGAGTCCCTTCCCAGAGCTCTCTCAGGCATTAGACGTGGGGCCTGGGGTCCTTTCTCAGCTGCCCAGTGGGCGCGAGGCAAGGACAGCAAAGAGCAGCGTGCCTGTGCTCCTCAATCCTCCTCACTCCCCTCCCAGCCTACGAAGCCAAATACTTCCACCCCAAAAGAGAAGAATAAGAATTAAGGCTGGGCTTCCCCGGTGGCGCAGTGGTTGAGAGTCCGCCTGCCGATGCAGGGGGCGTGGGTTCGTGTCCCGGTCCAGGAAGATCCCACGTGCCGCGGAGCGGCTGGGCCCGTAAGCCATGGCCGCTGAGCCTGCGCGTCCGGAGCCCGTGCTCCGCAACGGGAGAGGCAAAAAAAGTGAGAGCCCCGAAACCCCCAAAAAAAAAAAAAAAAAAAAAAGAATTAAGGTTTCTCCATCCCACATAAAGCCCCAGACCCACGATAAAGTTGAAACATTTTCCCCAAACAGCATCCCAGCACCCCAGACAGCCCCGCTCATGGTGCTGGGCACGCCCAGAAGGCGGCTCCTCAGAGCAGGCTGTGTTGCCCTGCGCCCTGCCCTAGAGCCACGATAACCAAATACCAGCAGCTGATGGACTCTAGGAGGTGGCGTGAGGCGTCCGTCTGGTCAGCTTCTGGAATCGCTGTGTGGATCAGATTTTCCCACATTGGGTGTGAGCTCTGGGATGAAAGTGGCCAAGCAAAGTTTACACCAGTGCAAGGAGCTGCACATGCCTGAGATCTCTTTTCAGCCAAGAGCCCAGGTTTGGCAGCAATGGCTCAGTGTTCACCCCCTCTAGGCTGCCTTCCCCTCTGTGCCATTGTCGAGATCTAAACTCCAAACATTTGAGATAGAGCTCCCAGCCCAAGCAAAAGTCCCGGTGTACCAAGTGTTCCTGTCGGCCTCCGCAGCTAATTTACTGGGCACTTTGGGGCGACTACTTCCTTATTTGCTTGCAGACTTTTGTCTGCCCACCCCTAGTCCCTGCATGCTGACTTCCTGAGTACCGGGCTGGGGAGCCATGGGTCCTAAAGGTGTCTTCCTGTCATAGTTATGGCTACAATGACATCGTCACCATCCCAGCCGGCGCCACTAACATCGACGTGAAACAGCGGAGCCACCCAGGGATCCAGAACGACGGCAACTACCTGGCCTTGAAGACCGCCGACGGGCAGTACCTGCTCAATGGAAACCTGGCCATCTCCGCCGTGGAACAGGACATCCTGGTGAAGGGCACCATCCTCAAGTACAGTGGCTCCATCACCTCCCTGGAGCGGCTGCAGAGCTTCTGGCCGCTGCCTGAGCCCCTGACCGTGCAGCTCCTGACAGCCCCCGGGGAGCTTTTTCCCCCCAAAGTCAAGTATACCTTCTTTGTCCCTAACGACGTGAACTTCAGCATACAGAGCAGCAAAGAGAGAGCGACGACCAACGTCATCCAGCCCCTGCTCAACGCGCAGTGGGTCCTGGGAGACTGGTCTGAGTGCTCCAGCAGCTGCGGGGCCGGCTGGCAGCGGCGGGCGGTGGAGTGCCGTGACCCCGGAGGCCAGGCCTCCACCACCTGCGACGAGGCTCTGAAGCCTGAGGATGCCAAGCCGTGCGGAAGCCAGCCGTGCGCCCCGTGATCCGGCGGGCGGGCCAGGCTTATGCTCATGGACTCGGGGCCCGGGGTGCAGACCAGGGTCACGCTACGGTGACCCCACGTCTGGGGGTGGCGTGGCCTGCCTACCCAGGCCCCCCACTGCTGCAGCTGGGCATGAATCCATGGGGGGAGGAGAGGAGAGGAGACAGACCACAGATGCTAATGTCTACTATCTAGTGGGTTGGACCTTGCTTGGGTTCAAGTAGAGGGCATAGGTTAAAAGGTAAAGAGTGCTCTCACGGACCCAAAAAGAAGACTCGGTCAGCCTGTTTGCAAAGGACTAACAAAGTTAAACGAAAAAAGTTATTTCTACTTGGTTCCCTCGTTAAATAATCTACCTCAGAGGGGAAAAAATCAGTCAAAGAGAGATGTGGAGTAGGGGTGGATGGTGAGCGTCAAAGCAAGCACTGTAGCTGCACCCCGAACTCTCTTCAGAAATGACCAGGAGTGTCTTCAGTATTAAACCCATCGCCTGGAGGGCTGCGAGCCACAGGATTGTGGAGAGCCCCGTGCTCTCAGGCTCCCACCTGCAGGGCTGGGTCCATTTCAAGTATTTATGCAAATGTGTCTCTGAACTAAAGTGTGATCTTGCGCCAGTGGAGTGGTCTGATCTGGTTCGGTATTTCTTCGGCAAGAGCAGGGGACCCAGGGCCCAAGGACAGAGGCTAAAACTAGGTCGGCTCACCTTGAGCACAGCCAGGGAGGCTGGCACCTTGCCTGCACCTCTGGGGCCTCCCCCGAGTTCTCACGTCTGCTGAATCCAGGTCATTCAGGCAAGTCTTTATCTGCATGATCTAGACCAGCGGTTCTCAAACTTCAGTGGGCATTAGGGTCATCTAAAGGGCTGCCTGAAACACAGATGGCCGCGCCTCACCCCAGAGTTTCCGATTCAGCGGATCAGGGGCCTGAGAATCCACATTTCTAACAAGTTCCCAGGTGACGTGGAGGCTGCTAGTTTGGGGACCACACTTTGAGAACCACTGCTCTAGTGGAAACTTCCAGCTCTGAGGTAACACAACGTTATTCCCGAGAAAGCCCATGCCACGCCACTCTGCATATGTCCTCATCCTCACATGTACACACTGACCAGGCAGAGATACAAGATTCTCCTCGCATCTGAGGAATGCTGCACCTGTTTCCAAGTAACATCATCCCAATGACCTCAGCTCCTTCTCTCCACGCCAAATGTCATTCCCAGCTCACAACTCTTTTGACCCAGGCGAGTTGCAACTGTCCCAATCAGCCCTTTTACATAGCCTGACCTTCCCCACTTAGCCACCTGAAACCTGCCTGAGAGCCTCCCAAACCCCATCTTCCCTCCATGTCACCTCATCTCTTCCTGGTCAGATGAAGCCCCCAGCTCGACTTCCATATGGTCTGGCGTAGAGGGAGCTCAGTCCTTGGTCATAGTGGGCGAAAAGGAACAGACGACATCAAGAAACGACATTCTAGGGAAAAGGAGGAAAATATCTAAATTTGCATCGTCCCTTTTCCTGTCACCATTGACCCCACCCCCCTTGTCCTTCCCTTTAGCTTTCTCTCAAGACCCCTTCAAGTAAAAAGTGGCCTGGAGCCCTTGTGTAAATGAGGAAAAGGTGCCCGCTGGGAGGACTCGGGCCGTTGGGACACAGGCAGGGCAAACAGGCAGGGATGTCAGCCCCTACCGTGCCCTCAGCTGGTCGTCTTCTTGTGGTGCACACTCTACACGGTGGCCGTGGACACCGCGGACCACTTTTCCCCGACTGCCGGCTTTTAGTGAGTGGGAGGCCGGGCTTACCTAGGCATAAACAGTCACACACACACCGGCACGTTGCTGACAACCAGGAAAGCCAGATCTGTCCTTGCTGTGAACCGGCTTTACTGAGATGGATCGTATGTTCCTGCAACCCTTCATCTACTTCCATTTCTCACTCTCCCCCGAATAGTCAAGGCCAGGTGTGTCCCCATTAACCACCCAGGCCAGTCCAGCTGTGCCGTACCTAGAGCCTCTGCGTCGTTACCAGGCGCAGAGCTTGCCCTGGAGTTCAGCTGGCAGCTGGGCTGCTGATGCGCAAAGCAGAATGGAATCCAGCTTGGCTCTTCCTTGCTGTGTGGCCTCAGCGAGGCTCACAGAATACGTACTTGTTTGTGTCTGGAAACTCAACAGCTGCAGCTCAGGGACTCAGGAAACAGATCTGCCTACCAGAGAGAGACCACGCCATCATTTCCCCCAGCCTACCACGACCACCCTTCTAGCCCAGAGAAGGGAAGGTTGCATTTCCTCTGCTGAGAGCTTGCATTTTCCAGCTAGAGTTCCTCGCAGAAACGGTAGTGGTGCCTCCTCGTGCAAGTCCACAAGGCCCTGACTCAGCAGGTAACTTGGTCATTCCTCTGGATCCTCCGAGCTCCTGCCAGAAATATTTCAAAGGTGGTACATTAGCATCGAAGTCCATTTCCAACCTCTGTCCGTGAGACAAGTGAATCCTTGTCTGGGGTTTATTCTCTGCCCTTTATTCTCCTGTAGCGGACCAGAGGGCTTTGTGAATTTACAGAAGCACGTTCCCCGGCCCGCGTTAGTAAACCACGCTTCTCTCCCAGGGGTGATGGGAATGTCTTCCCACCAGCTCCACACCTTGCTCTCTGATGACGTCCACTAGCTTTAGATCCTTCGTGTTTGGGCATTTTAGCCAGTGGACCCTCTTACTGAGGACTTTTCCTCCTTCCTAGCATCCAAACATTAGTTCTTCTTGCTTTCCCCTGGAGCCCTCTTCATTTTTACCAAGCCTTCCTACCACCACCAAAACAAACAAATAAACAAACAAAAAGGACAGGAACAAGAGGAATGTTCTTAAGAATATGTTGTCTTTTGCTTTGCTGTGATATCTCTGTGTGGTCCAGACAGATAGAGTGGCTTTGTCACAGCTTCACTCTCAGGCCTGTGAAGTGAGGTGGTACCTCTGCTGTGCGCCAGGCCTTCACACGCGGCCTGAGTCCCCCAGAGTCCGAGTCTCACCTGGTCGCGGGGAAAGAGGCTCCCGAGCCCACAGCGATCTGGGCTCTGTACGCTATGCCTCAGATCTCCAAGCCCCTCTGGGAAGCAGCGGGGCACCCGTGGCTGTTGGGGAATTAGGAATGGTTTGTCCATAAGAGTGACCAGAAACATGGAAGTTACCAGAGGCTAGTGCTATCCTTGGATTTCCAGATTTCCAGATTTCTCCTGCCATAGTCGCGTCACTTCCTCTCGCCTCTAGGGTGAGTTGAAGCTAGATTACTAAGTACACGGTCCAAGTCAAACACGAGACGGGGTGAGCGCGACGAAGACTGTGACGACAGCATTTTAGGCCAAAGGCTAAGTCACCGTCTCAACACCTGTCCTCCTCCACCCAGGGTGTGCTCCGTGCGGAGTGGAGAGACGTGTATCCCCGGCAGCGCCCTCCTCCCCTAATTCCACCGTCGATTAGACACTCAGCCAGCCCAGGGTCCTGAGCAGGCACTGCCCGTGAGTCCTAGGACGGGAGAGAGGCAGTAGCACCCATGCCCGGGAGGCACGCAAACCGGGGTTCACTGCCTGTGGTGGCCTCGGCTGCAGGATGGCGTGTCTTTCTGAGAAAGGTCTCTCCTAGTACGGCACCTTTCCCCGTGGTCCTCCGCCGAGCTTGTAGCTTCGAGAAAGCTGCCTGCGGAATATGAGAGAGAGAGAAGGCACCAACCTAAGCTGCTGTTTTTGCTGGTTCAATCTGGGTAATCACTAGAGACGTACTGTGGTCAGATCGACCTTACATTCAAAACAGTTCTAAACAAAACGAAATAACTCGCAAAGGGAACTGGAAGTTGGAGCGCTGAGTGAGCAGGGCGGTTGGGTTGCGACCCCCCTGCTGCCCCTGCCTCGCGGGCACCACGTCAGCCCCTCCCAGCCACCTGTCTGCTCTTCAGGTCAACACTTCTTCCCAACAACCTGGCCAGGTGTATCAGAACAGGTGCACCCCGTTACAGCTCTGTTCCTGCTTCTTCACATGGGGACCTTCTCTGATACTCCACTGGGGAGGTAGTGGGCCTTCCTGGCTAGTGTCACCTTCCCAGTAGTGTCAGCCAACCCACACCCCCCAAAACAAGACCCTGCTCAAGTACTGGGAAGAGAAAGATGAGACCCAGCGCAAAAGTAGAGCCTGAGCTGAGATGCTAGTGCTGGAAGAGAGGAACACAGGAGCCTTCAAACGCACCTGTCTCTTTTAGGACACACTTTCCCTCAGGCCTGGGGCTCAGCGACGAGAGACAGGAAAGTCCTGGCTAGTCTTCCAGCCCCACGAGCTGCCCAGCCTACCCCTGGCAGACACACAATTGCCCCAGGAAAGGAGAGAAGAGTCTTCCCCAGCCCTCATCGTTCCTCATTCCAAACAACTTGTAAGTCCCAGGGGCACTGGAAGAGTTTGCCCTCAGTCAAACACAACTTCCTGTTTCTAAGAAAGGGAAGAAAAAAATAGTTGAAAGGGTTTTTGGACACTGGAGATGTCGAGTTTCTGTAAACGCAAATGAATCAGACACATGTGGAATAAATTTCTCCGGAAGTAAGAAAAGATGCTGTGAGTTTCTCTTGCTGGACCAGAAAGTGGAAAAAGCGTAGCTGAGATGAGAGGTGCATCCAAGGCTAAAAGGAGAGAGAAAAGCCGTGTGAATGTCGCATCAAAGAGAGGGACCCGGTGATGACGAAGGTCCGTGTGGGCCTCCGAAGACCACATCCTGAGCTCGCTTGTTTATTCCTCACCACTTCTCCACCTCTGAGGTCATAGATTTAAACATCCTGCCCCCCAACCACAAGTTACGACCCTTCCCGACCTCTCACTGCTCCCCTTACACTTATTCTAGCGAGCCCAGATCCTTGACGGCCCCCCATACACACGTCCCCATCTTTATTTCTCTGCCTCTGCCTCTGTTTCTTCTTTCCCTGTGTGCTTAAAGGCCGTGTTCCAGCACCTCAAGTTCGATCTTCCAACGTTCCCACCTTCCTTGCCCCACTGACTGTCTGGGGCTCCACAGCAGAGCCCACGAAGACCGTTCCACCCTCTGCCTGAGGCTCGCCGTCGTGACTCTGGCAACCGGGCTCCACACCCCCGAGCATGTGGGACCACCGTGAAGTTGGCATCTCCAGTGGAAGCTCTGACCAGCCACCCACACAGGCTTCCCTCGTCGGCTCTGTTGCTGCTTCTCTACAAGATTATCGTCCACTTTCTCCACTCTCCTCACAAGCTCATGATCCTGCTGTGAGTGGAAGACCTCACCACCACCTACTCAGCAGAACCCAACACTGCATCTCCCATGATACGAGGAGAGAGGGGACACGGTCTCGCTGTTGACAGGTCAGGCTACGGACTCGAGTCTAGAGGAACATCCTGATTCTGCCTTATTTTAGAGTCAAGAGGCATATTCCAGTAACTATCAAGTCCGTCGGAGAGCGGAGATTCAGGACCTTATTAAATGAGTCTCCCAGGTCCTCCAGGGCACAGCACGCCAGGTCCTAGGCCTCCAGGAGTCCCTACCCCGTCATCCTTGCCCACACCTCTGTTCTCCACCGCCCAGCCAGAGTAATGCCTTTCCTTGTGCTTGTCCCCTGACATGACTGATCAGTTATTCCACTCTGTCTGGTTTCACTGCTGCAGGGAGCTTGAACTTCAGATGTCAGGGTGGAGGAAGGGGAGGTGGAAAAGCCCTCCTGGGGACAGAACCAAGAACAACAATGACAGCAGCCTTTCCCCCATGCTCGCCCATCTCTGGTGTGTTACGATGCTGAAAGAATGTCTCCCTCTTCTCCATCTCGTGTTATATTACCAAAGATCCCTTCTATTTTTCTAGCCCCCAAATGCGCTAGATCTCAGAACAGGGATGGGAAGAAAACAACAAAACAAAACAAAACAAAACCCTGCCCCACAAGAGAATGAACGTCATCATACAAGAAAGCTCGGTGTCTTACCGCCTGTCCTAAGCCTTACCTGTAGCTCTATCTATTCTTTTAAAACCTATCCTCTTTTCCTTTTTCTGTTACATGTTGAGGTATTTCCGCCGGTCAGAATCAATCCCTTCTAGAAGCCAGAGCCCTCCACCTTCTCTAGGTCCTCAGCCCATATATATTCTTCCCTCTGCCTGAAATGACCTTTTTCCCTTTTTCTACTCCCGGACTTCAACACATTCCTAGTTATTCATCAATTCCCAGATTCAAGGTCACTTAGTCAAAGAAGCCCTCGGGCTAGATGCAACAGCCGCAGGGCCTTGTGCACTTTGCTTTTCAAACACTCAGCTGGACCACAGACTCCGTGAGGTCTGGACCACACCCTGTGCTCACTGCATCACTCACGTCTGGCCTAGAGCCTGTCATGCAGCAGACACTTAATACATGAGAAAACAAGTGATCAAGTTGTTTTTCTGTCTTACAAACAATATGTTTACACCTCCCCACGTCCCTCTCTGTTCCTTCCACCCTCCTCACCCCCTAACAAGCCAGCTCTCCCCACCACTGCCCACAGGACTGCTGGCCAAGGCCGTCAGTGACCTTGCTAAGTCTGCAGACATTCCTCTCTCCGGCTGCCTGAGTCCTCCCCTCCTTCGTGGTTCCTGTCCCCCGCTCACTCCTAACTTGCGGAGATCCTCAGGGTCCTACTCACGCTTCCTGGGGTGGGGGGCGGGGGGCGGAAATCTCGTACGGTCACGTGGTTACGGTTTTTTCCTACATGCTGATCGCTCCCAAATTTAAATCCTGAGACTGTCGGGGTCCCCAAGACCACCCCATCATTCTGACATTCGCTAGAACTCCCGAGACTCGGGGCGGCTTGTGCTCATGGCTGAGATTTATCGGAGACATACTGAGGATACCAGCCGAATCATAAGGGACAGAGACACGGGCGGGTCCAGAGAATCCGTGTGAGGCTTCCGTGCTCTCCGCCTCCCACGGGGGCTGCACGGAGCTCGCTCTTCCCCAGCAATGAAAATGCAGCCACGCGCGTGTGAGGTTTCAGCCCAGGGACGCCCAGGAGAGACTCAGAGCTCAGGGCTGTATCCGAGGGCTGCGCATGTGGACGCCCTCCACCTGGCACACAGCAACACGCCAGACTCCCGGAAGGAAAGCCGGCGTCCACCATAAACCACAGGGTCTGCGCAGACAGTCTAGGCGCGGAAAACCAGCCTTGTCGGTTCACTGGTGACGGGGGCACCCTGAGAGCCGAGGTCCCAGACACCAGCCGAGGGCCAGCCGTGCCATCAGGTGTCTCTAAGGACGGCGGCCTCGGGCCTGCTGTGTTCCCTTCTTTCCGCGCAGGCTGGCTCTGTCTCCTGAACCACAGGCCCATATGCTTCCAGCTCCCCGCCAGACTCAGTGGCCTCAAACTCACCCTCTCCCAGCTGTTGTGCCTGTTCCCTCCCCGCCACCCATCCTATGCACTGGCCTCCACGTGAACCACTTCTCTCTAGTCCGCCAGCTGCTCGGGACCCCCAATCCAGGACGGAACAGACAGCACGTCCCACCCCTCCCATCTGATTCTCACATTATTCAGAGTTCTCTTTTAAACCTGAACATTGGATCATTTCACTTCTCCACTTAAACCCTTTAATGAGCACATAAATGTAACCCTCTCAGCAAGACCTGCCAGTTCCTGAGCGACCTGCCCCCAGGAGCTCCCAGTCTGATTTCATGTCCCTCCCTGCTCTGGGGACACTGTGTCTTGTCAGTTTCTCTCCAAGCCCTTTCTCACCCGGGGGCCTCACATGCACCCTCCCCGAGCCTGTGATGCCCTTTCCTCGGCTCACGCCAGGCTCCCTCCACTCATCCTTCACGTTGAGGGTTGGAGGTCGCGTCCTCAGAAGTCCTCCCCTGTCTTCCATAGTCTAAATGAGGCCCTGTTACTCTCTTCCATAACAGTAACTACATATGTCTGCGAGGAGCGTTCATTTCATGCCTCCCTCTCCCCACCACTAGACTGCAAGCTCCATGGGGGCGAGGATTCTGTGCTCGCCCTGGATTTCCAGAGCCAACAGGCACAGGGCTGTGTGCGTCTCCGCCAGGTGGGCTGCCATGACACAGCGCCGGAGACTAGGGGCTTAAGTAACAGGAATCGGATTCTCCCCGTTCTGGAGGCTGCAAGTCCGAGACCAGGGTGCAATCACGGTCAGTTCCTGGTGAGAACCCACCTCCTGGCTGGCCGGCAGTCCCCTTCCTCCGTGTCCACATACGACCTTTCCTCGGTGCATGCTCACGGGGAGAGAACCTCCTTCAAGTTCCTCTGTAATTCCCACCACCTCTAGGACAATTCCTGAGGCCCTCAGCACAGCTTCTGAGCCTGCGGTGACCCGGCCCTCCTCTCAGTCCGGTGCCTCTCTTGGCAGCGCCCCTGCAAAACTTCCTCTTCTGCAGGAGCACGTTCAGTGCCCTGGCTGCCCTGACACCCCTGCCTCCTACGGGGCAGCTCTCTCCACCGTGGCAGCACACCTTGCCCGCAGCCCCTTCGCAGCCCGGATCCCTGCGCCGGGGTGGTGCAGCCGAGGATGCCCGGTGAGCGGATGCAGTAAAGCTGCCCCAAACTGTGCTCCTAGGAGGTGGGGAGCTGCCGGAGAGGAGAGGAAACACATGCAGGGGGAGGAAAGAGCCGCGCACGTGAGCTGGGGGCAGGAGGCTGAGACCAGCTCGGTGCGCGCG